AAAAAAAAAAAAATTTAAAGCCTCGACTTGCAATATTGAAGGATTTCTATGGGTAAAAAGATGAGGCTTTCTGCTCCCATAAAGATCTACAGCCTCAGAAATCCTATACAGGGTCGCTATAAGTTGGAACCAACTCTACGGCACATAACCACCACCAACCATGGTAAAAATATTGAATGATGCAGAAAGCCTCTAAAGAAGATGGAAGTCATATACAGAGTCACTGTACCAAAAAAGAAATGGTTCATGTTCAACCATTTCAAGAAGTAGCATATGATCAATAGCTAATGATACTGAAGGAAGAAGTATAAGTGTACACTAAAGGCATTGGCAAATAACAAGGTTCCGGGAATGGATGGAATACAAACTGAAATCTTTGAATAAATTGATGTGCCACTGGGGACACTCACTCATCTATGCCAAGAAATTTGGAAAACTGGCCAACTGACTGGAACAGAGTCATATCTGTACCCCTTCCAAAGAGAGGTGGCCCAACGGAATGTAAAAATCATCAGACAATATCATTAATATTGCAGGCAAGTAAAATTTTGCTAAAGTTAATTCAAAAACGGCTACAATAGTACATTGATAATGAACTGTCAGAGGTTCAAGTCAGATTCAGAAAAGGACATGGAAAAAGGGATATCACTGTTGCTGTCAGATGGATCTTGGCTGCGAGCACAGAATACCAGAAAAATATTTACTTGTGCTTTATTGACTAAGCAAAGGCTTTCAATTGTATGGGTCATGACAAGTTATGGACAACACTGTGGAGAATGCATATTCCAGAACACTTAATTGTGCTCATAAAGAACCTGTACAAAGACCAAGAGGCAGTTGTTTGAGCAGAACAAGGGAACACTGAATAGTTTAAAGTCTGGAAAGGTGTGCGCCAGAGTAGTATTCTTTCACCATACCTTTGGAGGAAGGCTCATTAACAACCTGTGATATGCAGATGACACAACCTTGCTTGCTGAAAGCAGAGAGGACTTAAAATCCTTACTGATGAAGATCAGAGACCACAACCTTTGTATGGATTGCATCACAATGTAAAGAAAACAAAAATCCTCACTACTGGACCAATCCTCACTACTTGGCCAAACTTCATCTCTCATACTTCAGATATATTGTCAGGAGGGACCAGTCACTGGAGAAGGATATCATGTTTGGTAAGGTGGAGGGTCAGAGAAAAAGAGGAAGATCTCCAATGAGAAGGATTGGCCAAGTGGCAGCATCGATAGACTCAAGCCTAGCAATAGCAGTGAGGTTGGCCCAGGATCGGGCAGTGTTTCATTCTGCTGTGTATAAGGTCGCTATGAGTCGGTACCGACTCGATGGCACCTAACAACAACAACTGGACCAACAACTAAAATCAAGATAAATGGAGACAAGATTAAAGTTGTCAAAAACTTAGTTTTGCTTAGATCAACCATCAACAATCATGGAAACAGCAGTCAAGAAATCAGAAGACGTACTGCATTACACAGAGCTGCTGCACAAGACCTCTTTGAAGTATTCGAGAGCAAAGATGTGAGTTTGAAGACCAAGGTATACCTGATCCAAGCCATTATAGTTTCAATAACTTCATATGCATATGATAGCTGGCCAATGAATAAAAAACACCGTACAAGAATTAATGCATTTGAGTTATGGCGTTGTAAGATGATGTTAATAGTACTGTGGACTGCCAAAGAGCAAAAAAAAAATTTGTGTTGATAGAAGTCTATATAGTCAGAATGCTCCTTAGAAGCTAGGATGACCAGACTTCATCTCTTATCAGGAGGGACCAGTCCCTGGAGAAGGACATCATGCTTGGTTAAGTGGAGGATTATCAAAAAACAGGAAGACCCCCAGTGAGATGTATTGGCACATGGGCTCTAGCATAGTAAGGACTGTGAGGTTGGAGCAGAACAAAGCAGTTTTCTTTCTGTTGTGTATAAGGTCGCAGTAACCAACTCTATGGTAACTAACAATTACCACCTTTGCCTAAAGTATTATGGACTCTTTGATTTATACCATGTCAAAAATGACAATTTTGGCATTCTAGAGGGACTCAAATTGCATTCCTTTGGCTTCGCAACAGATTGCTGACGGCCAACCACACCTACCCCAGAAAAACGAGCACATGAATTGTCCTGATGGTAAAAAACTTCCTCGGTGCAATTTTCCTGGCCTTTTCCTCCTCAATATAGTTTTCAATTTTCTTAAAGCTTTTTCATAATAAACCCTTGTGATTGTCCTGTGTTCCTGTAGAAAATCTCTATGTAGACTACCCCTTTTGAATCCCAAAATACAGTCACTATATTCTGAGCTGATCTCTCTGCCTTGAATTTAATTGGCCAGCAGATCCCTTTGGAAGCCACTACTTTGAATGGAAAATCCAATCAAAGTAGTGGTTAAAATTCACTCCATAAAAATCCGATTCATGTTTGATACTGTGAGCAAGTGTGAACTGCTACAATCTGATGAAGTGGACCACTGCTATGGATGAAGTTGCTCAAAATTCCAAGCGAAATGGAAGGATTCTTTCTTCATATCAAGGAACAAACTTGTTTCCTCAGTGCATTGGGCTGACAGGGACAAATAATCTAGACAATAGCTCTAATATTGGAAAGGCTATAAAGGCACAAAGTAGTTGGCTTACAAGCTTTCGTAAGTGTGCTTACTTTCAGAATGAGGGGAGTTAAGGTAGGATCCCCACTGGATAGTTTTCCTCTTCTCCTGGTGGATTTGGTGAAAGGGGATGGGGGAATGATGCTGGCAGGATGTTATGATTCAATGGTAACTGTCAACAGGATTGTGATTGTCACATCTGTAATTGTAGAAGATGTGTAACTAAAAGTGGGGAGTAGTTCATCTTTCATATCAGGAGCAGACGATCCCAGTTCAATTAAGAGGGAAAAGGATGAGTAGACTGTAAGATCCTACATAGAAAAGCGGGGGTGGCATGGAGAGACAGAGCAGCCGTGGGCTCTGTCCTATGGACTGAGTAAGGCTGTGTGGCTATGGGCAGAAGGCTGGCTTGCAAAATGTGCCCTTCAGGCATTTAAATCATATACATTTTTGGTTTTGTATGTGTACATCAAATATTTTTGCTTTGTTTATTTGTGACATTTAAGATGTCAAAGGGAAGACACAGAGAGAAGTAGGATAGCTGTTGTTGCAAGGGAGGGTATTATAGTCACTGAGATGAAACAAAGCATATAATTTGTTGAATGTAAAGCTGATGATCATGTCTGTTAACCTTCACTTTATTCACAAATAAAGTTAAAAAAAAAAATTCATCTTCATTAGCTTCAAATCTTGCTTAAAAGACAATGGAAAAGATCTGATCTCTGAACGAGCTGATCTTTGCGCAGTGGTTTTGGCACCCATCAAATCAGGAGCTTGCTGAGGCCGAGATGTTCCCTTAACCATGTGAGATCCCAACTTCAGTAGTTAGCACATTAAGGGTAATTCTATGGTCTTCTGCCACCAGTTTCTGATCTTTAATTACAGTTTTTTCTCAATCTTCTTTAAAACTCCTCATTTATCTAAGAACTGTTGTTTTTCTGTTGGGCAGCATTCCTATAAACTTGTTGCAAAAAATTCAATGATTTCAGAAAATGTCCACAAGAGCTTTGTGAAGAAATGGATATTAGCTCTCATCTCAAAATGGTTTTCTCCAAGGCACAAAAAAGTATCCTTTGTTTTGAAGGCACCCTAATGATACTAAGTGTGATTATGAGAGAACTTGTCTGCAGCCTTACACTGATGAGAGACATGGTCGAGCACACAGTTTAGAATAAACCCACACAGGAACTAGAACCCTAGTGTCAGTACTTTCTGACTTACCCTCAATATGATCCTCTGTCTCTCGTAGCCCTCATCTTGTCTTATATCTACCATTAACAATGTTTATTCACCACTAGTTCTTATATCAATATATCTTTAGTTATTTTTGTTGTCTGAAACTCATTCTGAAGTATGTTGCTGTTTTTGTAAATGCCTTCGAGTCAGTTCCGACTCATAGCAACCCTTTATAGAGTTTCCAAGGAGCAGCTGGTGAATTTGAACCATCGACCTTGCAGTTCAAACCAACTTTGTGGTCCAGTGCTTTATCCCACAGTGCCCCACCAGGTCTCCATTCTGAAGTATAGGAGGGCTGGCCAATAAATCTTTCTGTGGTGATGGAACTGTTCCATACTTGCATTGTTCAATATAATAGCCAACAAGTGATTATTGAGCATTTGAAATGTCGCTAGTGAATCTGAAGAACAAAATCTTAAACGTGATTCAATTTTAATGAAATTAAATTTCAACAGCTCCATATGACTAGTGACTATAATATTGGACAGGACAGCTAGAAGACAGATGCCTCAAGGAGGACTAATGGGAGGAGTATTTCTTGAGTTTTTACATTGATACCAATTTGTCCTCTTTATTATTCAGAGTGGGTTTTGCTGCATATAAAATCTTTCGCTCATGTTTTCTTTCTTTGAGCATCTTCACTGTGTTATTTGCTCCTGTAATCAAGCACTTAAAGCCAAGAAGGCAGTGGGGTTTTCTGCTGTCTGAACTCTGTGGATTAGGGAGTGCTCTCAAGCAAAAGTCCTATCTATTTAAATTTTACTCATTAGAGTTCTTTACAGGATAGACTTGTTCAGTTTATGCTTGTTTTAGGAAATTCTCTGGCACCTTCAGATAGTTGATTTAATTGTTTTATCCAAATTTTATAATTGTTATCTGCAGAGAGTTAATCCAACAAATTAATCTACTATAACTGAAATATTATTTATGTAAACAGAGAAAAACAAACTTCAAAATCATCTTTTAAAGTGTGTGTACACTAACTGGCTGTTTCTAGGTGCCTGATCCTGTGGTATGATGAATAAACCGATCTCAGAAGAAACATCAGGGACTCAGAAGAATGCATCAGGGACTCTAGACCTGAAGGGGACCCGTATGTCTTTAGCCATTTGTTAAGAAGCAGTGGGACATGTCCCTCTGAGAAGTCCTACCTGCCGTTGACAGGCCAGGTGCGGGTGATGTCACTCACGTAGCAGGAAGACTCACAACCGCCATCCAGAAGCACCATTTCTCCATCCTGGAACCACAGGAAGATGGGTCAAGTGAGTGACCAAGCAACTGTAAACCAGTTTTTGTTCTAACACACTTTGTGCCTTTTATTTATTTTGTAAAAGCTCTAGTTTAAAGATCAATTTCTGGTTCCTTATAAGAAACAGCACCTAACCTTATCAAATGAACTCACATTGGCCCCAGAAAGATGAAATGAATAAGCTGTAGAACTGTTGCAGACCGTGTAAGACTAGTCAGAGGTTCGAGGCACTCTAGGGCTGAGTGTAACAAATGAGGCCACTGGCAGTTAATGGAAAATTGCTTTCATCTTAATATTCAGGTATATATATTAAATTAATACACTGGAGCCTTTGAAAATCCACAGATAAATGTGATATTTTCCTAAAGCCGAGACTAAAGGTTGCAAGGTTAAACCTTTCTCCAAAGGATTAACTAAAAATATTTTAGCTACTTCTCAGTTCTTTGTTCTATAGACAAAGAACCCATCCTCCCTAATCCCTTTTCCAGGTGCAGCCCATTCACCTGGGCGTCTCCTGCAGAACTCTCACCTTCCTCTAACTGACCTCAGGGGCTATAGATATGTTAATTGGGCCTGAGAATCCAAGTTGCTGGCCTGGGATTCGAACCAGTGAAGAACAATGTAAAGTTACCTGAATGTCTGGAAAATTACTGATGTTAGCTGTATCCTGTTTTAGTCCCTCCCAGCTTGGTGTGAAACTCCTCCCCTAAATAAAACAGAGGCCCGGGCCTCCCCAGGTGTGCATTACTGGTTGGAAGGCATGGAGTAAAGATTGCGGTACATTACGGGTTGGAAGGCATGCATTAAATATTGCAGGGCAGTGAGTCGCTGCCTGCAGAGGCCATGATGCCTGTAGTCCCAAGCCTGCCCACCAGTGATGTATCCACCCTGGCTTTGGGGTGCCTCATTGTCTCCCTTCTTCTGTTTGTCTGTGTATTCTTTCGCTATCCCTATCGCCGCTGGATCTCCCCTCCTCGTGAACCAAAAACTCGTGACAACTATGTCGAGGTCAGACCCCGGCGTAGAACTAGGTAGCTATGACTAGGTACACAGATTACACTATCACTGCTACTGAGTCAATTGTGACCCACAGAAACCCTGCAGACAGAGTTACCCAGACTGTTACAGCTTACTCCTGTGGTGCGGCTAGTGGATTCATACCACCAACCTTTCAGTTAGCAACCAGGCACTTTAACCACTGCATCATCAGAGCTCCTATGAATTATATTAGTACATCATAAATGCTACCATTATCATTAATAATAATAAAGCTGTGTAAGTTGGTCTCCAGAGTCTTATTCAAACACAATGGCTCCTACCATGTAACTATGAAATATCACTTCTCCCTCATGATAAATGTGGGAAAAGAAGAAAACTTCGGTTTTTCTTTATTTCACTGCCTGCTGTACTTTATTGAAATGATCTGTTTATGCTCTTGATTATAGGGACAAGGTCTTATTCAATTCCAAATAAATATAAAATCAGTCATAGCACAATAATAGTTAAATCACTCAAGTCCTTTAAGTCTTCTTTAACTAATACTCTCAGGATAATAGGATTCAAAACAACAGAAAAAGCATACATCGTCATAGCTACTGCAAAGAATGGACTCATGGTGTGGCGCGGTGGGGTGTGCACTGGACTGCAGACCACAAGGTTAGCAGCTGCTCCTCAGAAACCCTATACAAGGTCACTATGAGTCCAAACCAACTTGACAGCACTTCACAACAATTACATATACACATAGGGACTTCTGGTGTGGCGCTATGGGATCAGCGCTGAACTGCGAGTCACAAGGTCAGTGGTTCAAACCCACCAGCCACTCCTCAGAAACCCTATAAAGGGTTGCTATGAGTCGGAATTGACTTGAAGTCACTTAACAAAAACAACTACATAGATACTTAAGGACTCCTGGCATGGCACTGTGGGATCAGTACTGGACTGTGAATCACAAGGTTGGCAGTTCAAACCCACCAGTCGCTCTTTGGAAATCCTATACAGGGACACTATGAGTCGGAACCCACTCGACAACTACATAGAATGGATGTGGTGTTTTGTTTCTGGCAATCTGGTAGACTACATTTCCAGCTGGAAAACAAGAAGCCGCCAGATAAAAATAGATTTTATGAAATGGTGACATCACTACTTTGAAAGACGTCTTTAGAGCTGCTTTTATTTTGAACACAGGCAAACTCTGAACTTAATCTACAGCTGGGAGTCATAATACGGTAGCAGAGAAAGTGCTACCCAGAGATCCTGCAAAAATTCAACCTGAGACCCTCATGAAAGATAAAATGGTCTCAGGTCATTTGGACCCTGGTAGCTTCGGTAGCTTCTCACAAAGACATATGCAAACCACCTCTGAAGGAAATCTACCCCAATGTCAGTCTACAAAATTTCCAAAAATAGCAACAAGTATATATGTGGCTCACAACCAAGGAGGTAAGTCATCGTGAGTAAAAGGACCAACTTTACACCTTCCAAGAATTTCAAATAATGGGAAATATCCACTATAGAATAGCTAAGCATGAAATGGTAAAAGGATAAATAATGAAGCCACAACAATAAGCAAGCAACAAGAGACGATTCAGAAGAATAATGTAAAATTGAAAGAAGCAAATGGATATGAAACCATTAAAAACAACATCACTCAGTAGAAGGTTTAGAAAGCAGATCAGACACTTGAAGAAAAAGTAGCTTCCTAGAAAACCCAAAGCCTACAGCCACTGAGTCGGTTCCAATGTATGGTAACCCTATTGTTGTTGTTGTTAAGTGCCGTCGAGTCGGTTCCGACCCATAGCGACCTTGTACAGGGTTTCCGAGGGTGTAAATCTTTACAGGAGTAGAAAGCCTCATCTTTCTCCCACAGAGCAGCTGGTAGTTTTGAACCGCTGACCTTAAGGTTCACAGCCCGATTCGTAACCACTATGCTACCAGAGCTCCTGGTGACTCTATAGGACAGGGTAAAACTGCTCTTTAGGGTTTCCAAGATTGGAAATCTTTATGGGAGCAGACAGCCTCATTTTTCCCCTTGGAGTGGCTAGTAGGTTTGAAACACCAACACTGTGGTTAGTAGCCCAAATACTTAATCCAGAACACCACTAGGGCTCCTTTCCCAGAAGACAGGTGTACCAAACTCACCTAGAAAGATCCAGAGAGAGTCCAGGTAAAGTTAAATATGAAAGAGAAGTGGCCTATAGAGGACAAAATGAGAAGGTCCAATGCACCTCAACATGGAATCCTTGGAGGTGCGAAGAAAGAGCATGGAGAAAATGTTATAGAACTAGAAAGGTATGAACTCGGAGGCTAAGGAAGCAGAAGGTATCATAATTAAGTGAAAAAAATTTTGTGCTTAGACAAACCATAATGAAACTAAGGAATACAAAGGAGAAAGAATTCTTTAAAGCAGGTAAAGAAACTTTGCTGCAAAAATATATGGGGGCAAAGTTATGAAAACTTCTTAGACATAACCAAAAACCTTGAGAGGATGAGCAGCTCAGCCTGGGGACTCAATATCAAAGTTCTGGAGTTCTACAAGGTCAACTGGCATAACACAGTCCACGAAACAATGTTCCCGTCCTACGGTGGTGAGTAGCGACTAGGGTATTAAAAGCTCATGACCCAGGAAACATCAAGGCAAGTGGTCAGGTCCCCTCAGTGCAAACCGCCTTCAAAGACTAAGATTCAATGGGAATACACGCTCTGATTGGTGACCACGCTAGTCACCAATAAGGGGAAGTGAGGGAAAACCAGCAATGAAGCAGCGAGTTAAGCCCTACAATGATCAATAGACTTCTGTGAATCCAGGTGAAAACCTGGTTGGCCAGCAGTGTAGCAGGACCTGGGGACTTTTGGGCCCAGAGCCAGTGACACAGCCACAGAGGACTAGAGTGGAGAGTGAAACGTCCAGTGGATAAGAAGAGAGGGCATATGCACAAGAACACCCACACTTGCAGATAATACCCACTTGATCTGGCTTCAATGACTAGATGATCAGAGCTCAACCAGAAGAAGAAAGAAGAGGAAAAAAAAGTGTAATCTGATACAATTTGATGAACTTGACCTATACCTATGGAAGCAGTAGCTCAAAAGAGAGAACAAATCCTTACAGCAAGAATCATTCCCACCCCCTCCACACACACAGTAGACAGGGATGGGCAACTTGGGCATTGGCTACCCAAAATGGGGAAGGGGGGCAGGGGCTACAAAGGCAGGAAGTGACTGGCTTACAAGCTTTCAAGAGGGAACCTAGATCCAGAGGGCCTGGAGGAAGGTAGAATTTCCAGTGAGTAGTATCCAATCTGTCTAGGCAGGGCTGATGAAATGAAATGCAGACAGGTCTCTTGTGATACAATAGTGAATAATTGTTATCAGGATTGACTGTGAGGGTTGGAAATGTAAAGGTAGATGTTTTATAGCAAGGAGGGGAGTGATTAATTTTCCAGTCTAGGAGCGGAGCTCCCTAGGCCTATCAATGGAGAAGAGCAGAGAGCGGGACCCTACCCAGAGAAGCAGTGATGCCTGAGATGGAGGCAGAGACGACGTGGAGCGATGGAGCAGCTGGGGACTTAGATCCAGAGAGGAAGAGGGACTGTGTGCTGAAGACCCGGGGTGTGTGGGGGGCAGGCTTGCAGGGTATACCCTTTGGTTGGTTGATGATACATGAAGGGGATTGTAACCACGGCAATGAGATGAAATACGATAGAATGAATGTAAAACTAATGTTCTCCCATGTAAACTATCACATAATTCACAATAAAACATAAAAAAAAAAAAGCTCATGACCCAGGAAACATCAAGGCAAGTGGTCGGGTCCCCTCAGTGCAAACCCCCTTCCAAGACTAAGACTCAATGGGAATACATGCTCTGATTGGTGACCACGCTAGTCACCGATAAGGGGAAAGTGAAGGAAAAATAGCAATGAAGCAGCGAGCTAAGCCCTACAATGTTCAACAGACTTCTGTGAACCGGGTGAAGACTTGATTGGCCAGCAGTGTGGCAAGACCTGGGAACTCTTGGGCCCAGAGCCAGTGACACAGCCACAGAGGACTAGAGTGGAGAGTGAAGCATCCAGTGGATAAGAAGAGAGGGCATATGCACAAGAACACCCACACTTGCAGATAATACCCACTTGACCTGGCTTCAATGACTGGATGATCAGAGCTCAACCAGAAGACGACGAAAAGAAGAGTAATCTGATACAATTTGATGAACTTGACCTACATCTATGGATGCAGTAGCTCAAAAGAGGGAACAAATCCTTACAGCAAGAATCATTCCCACCCCTTCCACAAACTGAGTAGACAGGGATGGGCAACGTGGACATTGGCTACCCAAAATGGGGAAGGGGGGCAGGACTACAAAGGCAAGAAGTGACCAGCTTACAAGCTTTCATGAGGGAACCTAGATTCAGAGGGCATGGAGGAAGGTAGAATCTCCAGTGAGTAATATCCAATCTGTCTAGGCGGGGCTGATGAAATGAAATGTGGATGGATCTCTTGTGATACAATAGTGAATAACTGTTATCAGGACTGCTTGTGAGGGTTGGAATTGTAAAAGGTAGACGTTTTGTAGCAAGGAGAGGAGTGATTAACTTTTCAGCCTAGGAGCGGAGGTCCTTGGGACAATCAAGGGAGAAGAGCGGAGAGCGGGACCCTACCCAGAGAAGCAGTGATGCCTGAGATGGAGGCAGAGACCATAACGTGCACAGATGGAGCTGTTGGGGACTTTAGACACAGAGATGGAGAGGCACTGTGTGCTGATGACCGGGGAGCAGGCTTGTAGTGTATACCCTTTGGTTGGTTGATGATGCATGGAGGGGATGTTCTCCCATGTAAACTAGCACATAATTCACAATAAAACATTAAAAAAAAAAAAAAGGATCAGTCTTACTGATTAGAAAGAGACTGTAGGAACCTGAAACTATGGCCCTTCAGCTTTGGAACTGTACTCACCCATGTGACTCAAAAAAAAAAAGCTCATGAGTGTGACTAATTGCGACTGTCACAACTGTAAAGGTAGAAGTTTTGTAACAAAAATGGAGGAGTAGTTAATTTTATAGTACAGAAACAGAGGACCCTAGGCCATCAGGGAGAAGAGCACAAGTGAAATGCAAGACCTTACCCAGAGAAGCAGCGACACCACAGATGGAGGCAGACATGGGGACATGGAGAGAGAGAACAGCTAAGGACTCTAGATTCATGGAAAGAGAGGGACTGAGAGCTGGTGGCCAGGAGGGTGACTTGCAGAATTTGCCCTTTGGTGCTTTAAATTATTACATATGCCTGAGTGTTAAAAAAAAAAAAGAGCTAAAATGAATAGAGAGATACTGTTGACCGATGGCACATGGAGGGGATTATAATCATTATAATGAAACAAAGTATATGATTTGTTGAATGTAAAACTGATGATCTGCCCTGTAAGCTTTCACTCAATTCACAATAAAAACTTAGGGAAAAAAAAAAAGCTCATGAGTGGCCATCTAAAGTGCAATATTGGTCTCTCCCTGTCCGGAGGAAAGAAGAGTAATGAAAATCAAAGACACATGGAAACAATTAGCCCAATGTGGTCCACGTGAACATCAGTCTCCACAATTGAGACCAGAAGAACTAGATGGTACCCAGTTCCCACTAATAACTGCTGTAAAAGGAATCACATTAGAAGGGCTACATAAAGTGGAAGAAAAATGTGGAACAAACTCAAAATCACAAAAAAGACCAGTCTTATAAGTTGGATAGAAACTGGTGGCACCTGAGAGACTATGGCCCTTAGTCACCCATCAGTTCTGGAGCTGAAGGCATCCCAGTGGCTCCATTTTCAGCCAAACGCTAGATATGAGGAACAGTAACAGGAGCGAGGGATGAACTCCTCAGAAGACCCGACCATTTGAGATCCAAAGGAAAGCACTGACCCAAGGACAAAGTTTCGAAGGTTCAGGAAAGCAGGAGGAATGGAAACAGGAAAGACAGGGAGGAAGGGGGATCAGTGATATTGGATTGGCGTGATACACTCAAAGACATGAAACAACATGTGATGAACTCTTGGATGCAAAATTGATGATCTGGTCTATAAACCTTCACTCAACTCACAATAAAAAGTGAGAATACGGCAGCCAAAGAAAAATGTTTCCTGCAAGGAATGAGTGTTTTGTTACTGTTTCTAAAATTGGCAACACTGAAAGTCAAAAACAGGAATAAGATATTCAAATTGATGACTGAAAATAAGTGCCAGTAGAGGGTTGTTTTTGTTTTTGTTTCTTTTCCCTTTTGCATAGCCATCTTTCAAGAATGAGAATAAAATAAGGATATTTTTAGCTAAATAAAATGGAAGTTTACCAGGAACAGATCTTTATCTTCTTCACGCTCTTAAAGAAGCAAGATGAATCCAGCAAGGCCATCTAAGACATATGAAGAAATAGTGAGCAAATTTACACAAACAGAAGTGTTCTACTTGGACCTATTCCTGAGGGTGGGAAGTAGCTTTGGTCAGCTTGTTGTTGTTACTATTGTTATTAAGTACCATCGAGTCAGTTCCAAATCATAGCGACTGTGTATAGAGTTTCAAGGAGCAGCTGGTGGGTTTGAACAGCCAACCTTGTGGTTCACAAGTCAGTTCAGAGGCAGCAAACACAAGGCAGGCTGTCCTATATGAATATATTATCTGCAGATGCCTAGGAGCTGGTCCACAATGGAGCCCTTCCAAATGTTGTTGTTAAGTGCTGTTGAGTCGGTTTCAACTCACAGTGACCCTGTATAGGGTCAAGGAGCACCTGGTGAGCTTGAACCACCGACCATGCAGTTCAAATGACCTTGCAGTCCTACTTAAGTGCAAGAAAAGGCTTGAAGTTCCAGTGATTTAAAACCTGCATATGAAGCAAGTGAAGATGATTGTGATGAAGAATTTGTTGCAACTGGGGGAGACTGGGAGGTTCAAGGAGCATAGTGGGTTATGAGTTGTGCCAACTGCAAGGACAGTAGTTTGAATCTACCAGCTGCCCTGCAGAAGAAAGATGAAGTCTTTTTGCTCCCTTAAAGAATTATAGCTTGGAAACCCTATACAGGTGATCCCTATGAGTCAGAACTGACTCCCTGGCACATCACCACCACCACCACCACCACCAGAGGTTGGTTCAATCATCTCAAACTGAGGCCAAATTTACATACATTAAAGCTGGGCTTCAAAGATGGTGGCCAATGGAAACACTCTTAATGTGGGTTGCTCTCCACAGTCCCGCCAAAATTCCAATTCCACAAATTAGGCTCTTGAAAGGGCTCACTATGCTTTTTCTAAGTCTCCCATTCAACGGCTTCAACCTATAATTTTTCCCATTCCAGTAACTGTGACCAACTCCCCAAAATTAAAAAAATTTGTGTTTGTTCCTATTTTACTTTGTTGATCATGATTGGGCCAGTTCAAAGCCCTACATTAAAGGCCATGATGGAGCTATCCATAAATCAGACATCAGAACCCCATGGACAATCTATGTTTTGGTTAAGTGCCGTTGGGTTGGTTCCAACTCATAGTGACTCTGTTTAGGGTTTTCAACGAGCAGTAGGTGAGTTTGAACCACCAACCTTGTAGTTCAAACCGACTGTGGTCCAGTGCTTATCCCAAAGTGCCACACCGTACAGAGAGTCAAATGAGTTGTGTTGAATGCATATACCCACATACTGATCCGCACACCCCTTCCCAGTCAACCCCTCCATCAGCAATGACCAGGGATCTGATTCTCTGTTTTAGAACTTTCTACAATGGGATCAGAGACTATTCCCCGTCTTTAGAATATAGTGTTATTAAACAAAACGAACAGAAACTACTGAGTAGAATATTGGCTCTGAATCTTGCTTCTGCACTAACAAATGAGCAGTTTAAATGTTTTTTTTTCAGTTTATTTTCCTCATTTATGAACAGGCGTGCTAAGCATCGCTGCTCCTACCTCACAGTGCTAATGAGAGGACTAAGTTAAGAGCATTTTATAAACAATCAAGTCTTTACAAATCTGTGAAAGCTGAAGGCTGTGACAGCACCAGGCCCCAGAGGAAGTAGTACTGGAGGAGAACGTGTTGGTGTACCTTGATGACTTGGTTGTTATTCACATAGTGCAAAGTATTAGACCGATTCCCGCCAGCAACTACAGGTGGGTAGGCTAAGATGTCTGCACCACGAGCCCGGCATTCAAATTCAAACTGCAAAAAACCCAAAGATATGACATCAGAAAGGACTTCCGCAATGTTAAAATGATTTTTGAGCTTTGTTCCACATTTTTGCTCACAGTATCCTGAACCCTCTAATATGATCCCTTTCAGAGAGGTCAGCAGCGGTAGCTGGTCTAAGGGTCATAAAGGACAGAGTTCATGTGAACCATTAGTGTTTGTACTAACATCTCCATGCATCTTTTGTTCTCTTCATTCTTATGTGCTGTTAGAGGCAGATTAACTTGCACTTTTATCAATAGCTCCAAGTTACCATATTTTCCACAAATAGTGTGCCCACGTAAATAATGTAGAAATGCATACATGCAGAAATGACAACATTTGTTAAAAATTCTGGCTGAGTGTACCCATACATATGCTTTCCAGATGTGGATTTCTACCACAATCACCCTTATCCAATAGTCCAGAAACATTACTTTTGGTAATATTTATAAAATAAACATAAAAGAAGTCATGGATTGACTTTGGAAATACTCTGGTAATCAGAAAAGAATGAATTGAAACTGTGTATTTGTTTTGGGGCCATTCTAGGCCAGGCCTGCCAGCAGTGGAGCTCCTTGTATCCACCTGCACCCAGGTACGTCATACTGGAGACAGGCAGAATATTGGGCAGTGGGCTGCCACAGCCCAAGTACAGGCTGGTGTGATGGTGTGGGGAGTGCCCGGGCTCTGTGGTGCTGGCCCCCACAGGAAACCAGAAGACATGGTGAGAGGGATGCCTTGGCCCTGTGTTGCCTCTGGGTGGCCTACTGGACCCCTCCGTGCCTGTGGTTCTCATGCCTACCAGGTGGCATCCGCACAGGTGGGAGATTCATATGGCCCAAGTGTGGCTGCAGGTCAGTCAAACGGTGGGGCAAAATGTGTATGGCTGTGGCACGCTGGCCTCATCCACTACAGTGTTTTTGGTGTGGAATAAGTGATTTCTTCCATGCTGGAGAAAATGGTTTGCAGAGTAGGGAAGGAATCCTGGCAGGTAATTCCAGGGTAGGCTGTGAGGGTCTGCTGCTGAGAACCAAACCTCTGCCAACAGACTCAAGATAACGACCTAACACTAAATCCATTGAACAGAAAGAAAAAAAGAAGATGAAGTTGGCAACATGTAAGAAAATTGGTACAGCGTGCTTAAGAAATAACGTGTGGGGCTTGCACAGTATGAAAAGCATATAAAGTGCCTATTGTTGTTGCTGTTGTTACATGGTGTCGAGTTGGTTCTGACTCTTAGTGACCTCATATAGGGTTTCTGCATTAGCCAACAGCGCCACAACAGGACGGATTTCAACCTTCCAAATGGCTTTCAGCCTAAATGTCTGGAAAAGTGAAAAAAGATGCAAAGAAAATGGCAAGTTCTTTATTTTCATCTGAAGATGGAGCTGGAGACTGGTGAGCATCTCTGGCACTACCTCAGAGTCTCTTCCTTTGCATTTACATATTTTCTTCTCATCTCACACTTGCATAAATCCTTCCTTCTTCATCTGCTTTACTGTGTAACTTTCTTCATCTAATTCTAACACTGCATGTTTACGCTGTGGGTTCATGCACTGGATTGCAAAGTTGCTTTGAACTACAAGGTCAGTGGCTCAAGCTCACCGGTTGCTCCTCGGAAACGCTATACAGGGTCACCATGAGTCAGAACTGACTGGACAGCACTTAACAACAACTACTACTACAAACAGATCACCACAGGCATTTAAGAACAAAATCCTTTCCACTGACATCCTGGGAACTTCCAAGAAAACCAAACAGAAAGTATCTGCAAATGTAATTGTCAATCCCCCTCCAAGGGAGGCTTGCACTGACCTTGGCATAAAGAAAGGCTTCATCCACAGGGGCTCTCCTGATGCACATGGTCTCTATGAAAGCCTGCAAAGAGAAAGACCACTCTTACTCACTAGGTTGCTTGATCAAACATTAGAAATTCTGGAGGGCATTTTTCGCTCCAATTTTGTTGATCTGAAGATGTGGCTTAGTGAAAATAATAATGTACGATTTTTTTTTTTATGAAGGGGAAAAAAAATTCACTTTTAGGAGTATTTAGTGGATGATGAATTTAATAGAAAGGCAACCAACCTTCCCACTCAGAATATATATGGAATGCCAGAATAAGCTCTATGGGAAAGCACATGTCATTACTTTGCAAAATCCTTCTCTGGCCCTCAAATGCTTGGCTTCTCAACCTTGGCACAGCGAATCCTTTCAGTTAGATTGATTCTATGTAACGGTGGCTGTTCTGTGCAATTTAGGATGCCAGCAGTAGTCCCAGTTCTGACAAGCACACATTCTCAGATGTTCCCCGGAGGACAAAAATCACACTCAGTTGAGAATCACTGGCCTATGATTCCCACTTATAGAGATCCTATGTTGTTGTTGTTAAGTGCTGTCAAGTCGATTCCAACTCACAGCAACTCTGTATATGGTTTCCTAGGAGTGGCTGGTGAGTTTGAACTGCCAACTCTGCGATTCAAATGACTTTGCAGTCCAGTGCTGATCTTACAGCAAGCACCACGTCAGGACTCCAGAATAAGCTATATGGGAAATTTTTATGGTTCTGACCCACAGTATAGGTTTCCTAGGAGCAGATGATGAGCTTGAAATGCCAACCTTGCAGTTCAAACTGACTTTGCAGTCCAGTGCATTAGCCCACAGCGTCAGACCAGGACTCCAGAGATTCTACAGGACAAAGGAAAACTGACCCATCACGCATTCTTTACAAGAGCAGACTGCCACGTCTTTCTCCCATGGAGGGACTGGTGGTTAGCAGCTGAGTGCTTAACTGCTGCACCACCAGGGCTCCTTAGCCTATATATACCTGAAGCAATTCTCTGTATTAGCCACACTGTTTATCTGTATATATACATTTCTAGTTTTATAAGCAAGTTGTGTGGTTAGGTGCCATCAGGTTGGTTCCACCTCAGGGATATGATGTATAACGGAACTAAATGCTGCCCATAATCACAACTGTTGTTGTTAAGTGCCATCGAGTCAGTTCTGACTCATCACGAATCTGTATAGTTTCCAAGGAGCGGCTGGTGAGTCTGAACCGCCAACTTAAACATAGTAGGTACGTTTAAGACCATTGTTGCAGCTACTTTTTCTTTCTTTTGTTAACAAGCATACCAAACCAACCCGAAACCCACTGCCATCAAGTTGACACCAACACACTGTGACCCTGTAGCAGCGCAGAGTAGACCTGCTCCACATTTTCCACGGCTGTAAATCATTCTGGAAACAAACAGCCACATTTTCCCCTGTGGAGTGGCTGGTGGGTTCCAAGTGCTGATTGTTCAGTCAGCAAGCAAGCACTTTAATACTTGTGCCGCCAGGACTTCCTGTAAGCATGTTGTTGTCATTATTAAGTGCCATTGAGTTGACTTCAACTCACAGCAACCTTAGGTTCAACAGAAAAAAACACTATGTGGTCTTGCACCATCCTCAAAGGAGTTTCTATGCTTGAACCCACCATTGCAGTCACTGTATCACTCCATCTGCGTTAAGGGTCTTCCTCTTTCTTGGTTGAGTCTCTGTTTTACCAAGCATGATGTCCTCTTCCAGGGACTGGTCCCTCTGGATAACAAGTCCAAAGTATAAGAGACAAAGTTTCACAAACCTCATTCTAAGGTATGTTCTCAGGCTGTTCTTCTTCCAAGACACATACTGATTTTTACACAATGTTCTTTGCCAACACCATTAATTCAAGGGCCACAATTCTTCAGTCTTCTTTACTTATTGTCCAGCTTTCACGTGCATATGAGATGATTAAAGTAGCATAGCTTGGGTCAGGCACACATTAGTCCTCAAAATGTTATCTTTGTCCCTTAACACTTTAAAGAGGTCTTTAACAGCATTTTTGGAACAATACAATGAGTCATTTGATTTCTTAACTGTTACTTTCATGGATGTTGATTATGGATCCAAGTAAAACGAAATCCTTGACTTCAATTATTTCTACATTTATCATGATGCTTATTTATTGGCCTAGTTGTAAAGATTTTTATTTTCTTTGTTGAGGTGTAATCTGTACTGAGGAGTCCTGGTGTGGCGCTGTGAGCTAATGCACCAGACTGCAAAGCCATTGAAAACCCTATACAGGATTGCTATGGGTTGACTTGACAGCACTTAACAACAAATCTGTACTAAAGGCTATGGTCTTTGAAGTTCATCAGTAAATGCTTTACTTTGGCAAGCAAAGTTGTGTCATCTGTTTATTAATGAATCTTCCTCCAATCCTGGTGTCACCTTTTCCTTCATGTTTCTTGGATTATTTTCTCAGCAAGAATATAACCCTGTGACACATACCTTTCCTGATTTTAACTCATGCTTGTTTTGTTCTGATGACTCTTTCAGTCTATGTATAAGTTCTGCACGAACACAATGAAGGATTCCGGAATGTCCACTCTTCATAATATCATTCATATTATCCATAATTTGTTGATTCACACAATTGAATAACTTCACATAGTCAATAAAGCACAGGTAAACATCCTTCTTTTATTCTCTGCTTTCTGCCCAGATACATATGATCCCTTGGTCCACATCCTCTTCTGAGTCCGATTTAAATTTCTGGCAGGTCTCTGTCAATGTGCAGCTGTAATCATTTAAAACTTAATTTCTGCACAAATTCACTTGCATGTGATATTAATGATACTGTTAGTTAATTTCCACATTGTTTCATCATTTATTTGGAATGGGCATAAATATGGATCTCTTCCAGTTGGCTGGCCAGGTAGCTGCCTTCCCACTTGCTCGGCATAGACGAGTGAACGCTTCCAGCCTAGAATCAGGGCACAGTGTTAAACTGAGGCAATCCCAGAGGCAGGAAGACAGTTAAGAAGCTCTACTGTGCAAGGCACTTGAATTTCATTATTCTATTTCCTCTTCCTACAACTTTATTGAAATGGTGCAAAAATAGTTTGTAGGAAGCATCTGACCTCCTCTATCTTCACAAGGCGGAAGGACGAGAATCACTATCAGCATCAGATCAAGGCCTATTCCTATAAAGTGTAGGTCAGAAGTGCTGTGTTTCCACCCTCCAAACGTAACCAATTCTGACACCACCTGTCCTCATGGCAGTTTCTACGTCTCGGCTGCGCTAGACAGTTCATTAGGATGGCCACACAGAACTCGTAGCCCATACATACAGTGATGGGTTTATTAAGGAACTTACAATTCGGGCTCAGGAACAATTAGGATACAGTTCTTTGTTCATGATAAAGTTTTCTCAGCCATGCCAGCAGGTACGCTTGTTTAGACAAGTGCCAGTAAGTGCTCAAAGGCACCCTATTCTACCAGCAAGCCTCCGGCCCTAAGGTCCCACCCATCTCCTGCTGGTCTCCTGGACCTGGGGCCTCCGCTGTCGCTGCTCCTCTGCCAGGGCTTCTGGCTGTCTATCGTATCACCTCTCTGCCTCCTGGATCAAGGAGGTCTAGTGCAGGGATCTTGAGGCCAAAGACACTCCCTATTCCTGGCTCTTCTTCTTTTCTTGATTTGCTGGTTTTTTAAGTGCCGTCGAGTCGATTCCAACACACAATGACCCTGTGTAAGGTTTCTGAAGCTGGTGGGTTTGAACTGCCAACCCTGTGATTCGCAATCAAGTGCTGATCCTATAGCGCCATACAAGGCTCTTCCGTGATAGTAGTGAGAATATACACAGAAACACATACACCAATTCAACGATTTCTACATGTACAATGAGTAACTTAAACGGATTAAGTTCTTCAAGATACACAACTATTCTCTCCCTCTTTTGAGTTGTCCCTCTCATTAGCAAACACGAGGAGGAGGAGGATACCCGGAGCAATGGTCTCTGGAGGGTGGGACTGTATAAAGATTGTGTACTATCAAAAGAGTGCTTTTTCTAGAGAGAAAGAAGTTCTGATCTCCAGAGTATAATGGCAATCTCCTAAGTAAAGATTTGATTTCAATTATTGGTTCCATCTATTTGGGTTTACCTTTGCTTAGACTACCTGTTAGTGAAAACCCAGAGAAAGCAGGTGACAAATGAGCTATTGGTAATGCAAACGCTGGAATCAGTGGCCTTCAAAGATGTAATTGTAGACTTCACCCAAGAAGAGTAAGCCTTGCTGGAAATAACCTGGAGAAAGCTGTTCAGAGATGTTATGATGAAGACCTTGTCTTTGTGAAGAATCTTTGAAAATCAGTGATTTCTCAGCCGGAGCATGGAAAACAACTATGGAGAGAAGGAACAAGATTTCTCCAAGGCCAGAGGCCAGGCAGGGAAAGTGATCTTAAGAAGCAATATACTTGTAATATGCCTGCAAGAAGGGCACACCCACCACCATCATCATGGTAATGCCAAGATCTCTCACTGGAAAGCATTCACTTGAATGTAATCTGGGATAGTATGTCTTATAGCTTCACAAGTAGAAATCATGGAACAATATCATTACTATCACACGCAAGTAAAATTTTGCCAAAGATAATACAAAAATGGCTGCAACCAATACAATGACAGAGACCTTCTGGAGGTTCAAGGTAGATTCAGAAGAGGACATGGAACGAGGGATATCAGCTGGATCTTGGCTGAAAGCAAAGAATACCAGAAAGATGTTTACCTGTGCTTTATTGACTATGCAAAGACTTTTAATTATGTGGATCATGACAAGTTATGGACAACATTCCAGAAACTTTTAATTGTGCTCACAAGGAGCCTGTATATAGACCAAAAGGAAGTTCAAAGAGAACAACAAGGGGACACCGGATACCGAATGGTTTCAAATGAGTGAAGGTGTTGTATTCTTTCATCAAACAAATTCAATCTGAGCAAATAATCTGAGAAGCTGGATTATATGTACAAACCGTGGCACTAGGATTTGAGTAAGACTCAAATACAGCAACTTGCGATA